GGATCACGGTTCAAAGCCAGCCCAGGCAGGAAAGTCCATGAGACTCTTATCTCCAACAACCACCAGAAAACCAGAAGTGGCACTGTGGCTCAAGTGATAAAGGGCTAGTCTTGAGCTGAAGAGCTGAGGGACAGCGCCCCGGCACAGAGTTCAAGCCCCACAATCAACCAACAACAACAAAAAACAAGTCACTCTGAAACTGGTGCCAGTGGCTCACACCTATCATCTTAGCTACTCAGGAGATGAGACCTGAGGATCGGCATTCAAAGCCAGCCCAGACTGAAAAGTCCCTGGACTCTTTTATCTCCAATTAAACATCCCCTCCACCCCCCCACCTCAAAAAAAAATGGAAGTGAAACTGAAGCTGTGGCTGTAGTGGATGAGCACTAGCTTTGAGCACAAGAAGTTCAGGGGCAGTGCCCAGGCCCTGGGTTCAAGCTCCAGGATGTGTACACACGTACACACACACACACACAATCACTTTGACTATTATGTGGACAAAGGATTAAAATGTACAATTATGGGTGGAGATAAACAGTTGCAGAAGTCAGGCAAGAAGAAGTTATCATTTTTACTAGAATGGATGTAGAAAACTACTGACTGAGAAACAGTCCAGAAGAAATATTGAAAACATGAACTGCTAATGTGGATGTCGAAGTTGAGGAGATAGCAGTGGCAGGAGTAATTCTGAAGTTTCTCACCTATGAAGCTGACTGCTTGAAACCTCGTTTATGAAGTAGGCCCCTCCCAAGAAAGGGCTCAAGCCTTGTTCTAGATAGCTTAATTTGCACATGAAATAGTCAAGTGGTTGTTAAATAAGGTCTGTGGTTCAGAAGACAGGTTAAAGGAGAGAAAGAGTATGTAGTATCACAGGAATGTAGAAAATTATCTACAGAGCTTAAATCCTGTGGAACACTCCGCAGGTGTCCTAAAATCCAAGAAAATAGAGTAGTACTCCCCCCCCTTACTCTCATTTTCACTTTCATGGTTTTTACTTTCCATAAGTTTAGTTAACCACAGTCAGCCACAGCCTGAAAATATGAAATGGAAAATCCCAGAAATAAACATTCCATAAGTTTTAAATTGTTCACTCTTCCAAGTGTTGTGATGGAATCTCACTCCAGGTCCATCCTGCCCAGAATGTGAATCATCCCTTTAACATGTCAGCACATAACTTTTATGATGTTATATTGTTCTATTTTATTATTAGTTCTTGTTAGTATCTTATTGTACCTAACTTAAAAGATGAAGTTTTTCATACGTTTGTATATGTACAAAAAACATAGTATGTATTGCATTTGGTACTCTTCAAGATTTCAAGCATCTACTGCAGGGGGGGGGGGTTGTCTTGGAATGTATCTCTGTAGGATAAAGGAGACAACTGCATTTAAAAATGGAAATAAGGAAGTGGTACTGTGGCTCCAGTGGTAGAGCACTAGCCTTGAGTTGAAGAGCTGAGGGACAACGCTCAAGCCTAGAGTTCAAGCCCCATGACCAACAAAAAAAAAAGAGAAAAAAGAAAAAAAATGTAAATAAGTAGATTAGGTAGATTACAACTATTAGCGGATTTTCCTGCCTGGGCTGGCTTTGAACCTCAGATCACCATCCTGAGTAGCAAGTATTATAGGTGTGAGCCACTGGGTACCTGGCTAGCACTTGCAGTTTTGTTTTTTTTTTTCTGTCTTTCTTTCTTTTTTTTGATCGGTTGTGGGCCTGAACTCTAGGCCTGGATGCTATCTCTTAGCTCTTCAGCTCATGGCCAGCACTCTACCACCTGAGCCACAGTGCCACTTCCAGCTTTTTCTGCTTATGTGGTGCTGAGGAATCAAACCCAGGGCCTCATACATGCAAGGCAAGCACCCTACCACTGAGCCACCTTCCAAGACCTACCACTTGGATTTCTAATGGAGGAATACTAATACTGCCCATTCAGGTACCACATTGGAGAGCAACTAGACTAGCAAATCCTAGAGAAGGAGGTGTACAAAGGACTTCTGGAAATGTGCGTGAAGAAAGTTAAGTAGAAAGAAGTAGAGTTTGTTTTTCTTTTGCTGGCCCAGGGGCTTGAACTCTGGGCCTGGGTGCTGTCCCTGAGCTTCTTTTTTGCTCAACGCTAGCACTGTACCACTTGAGCCCCACAGCACTACTCCTGGACTTTTCTGAGTAGTTTATTGGAGATAACAGTGTCACAGACTTTTTTTTAGCCTGGGCTGGCTTTGAACCAAGATTCTCAGATCTCAGCCTCCTGAGTAGCTAGGATTACAGGCATGAGCTACCGGAGCTCAGCCAAAAGTGGAGCTTTGAATGATAAAAATAGAAAAGAACTTAAAAGAAAGCTCCAGAGAAAAGTTAGAAAATGAAATAACATGCTTTTTCAGAGTAGAATCGAAGGATGGATGATAACAGTAGAGAAAGATAAGGGAAGATTTATCCATGAAGGGAGATAATTGAAGATTACCAGTGGATATCTGAAATCATGGCTCCTACCATACCCTAATACATAGTCTTAGTCCATTTTCTGTTTCTGTAACTGAATACCACAGATTGAGTAATTTATAAAGAACAAGGGTTTGCTGGGGTATGATTCTAAAGACTGAAACTTAAAATCAGGTGGCTCCATCTGGTAGGTCCCTCTTTGCATAGTCCCAAGGCAGTACTATGTGTCACATGGTTATAAATCAACAGTCCCATTGAGTTAGAGTCCTTATGGTCTCATTTAACCTTAATTACCACCAAGAGGAAGATTCAGTTTCCAGCATCTTAATAAGTCACAGTGGGGATTAAATATCAACATGAGTTTTAATGGAGACATTCAAACAATAGCTCTTCAGTATTTACTTTTACACATTATTATCAACATGTTTTCATTCATTCACTGAAGCTTGAACACAGGGCCTCTCCAGCTTGCTAGACAGGAGCTCTGCCACGTAAGCCATTGCCCCCAGCCCTCTTTATTTAGGTTATTTTTCAGGTAAGATCTCTAGTTTCTTGTGGAGATTATGATCCTCCTACGTGGAATGAGAGACATATATCACTATACCCAGCTTTTCTGTTAAGGTAGGGTGTCACTAACTTTATGCCCAGACTGCCTTGAACCACGATCTTCCTGATCTCAGCCTCCTGAATAATTAAGATTTGAGATGTGAACCACTAGAACTGGCCAGAACTTGTTTTCTAAAACCACCTTTTGTTCCTCTAGTTAGAGACATTGCTATCATGTCCAAGTTAATAAGTTATTTTTTGCCTATTTTGTCGAACTAATCATACACATTTTGTGAATTGTGTCAGTTTTGTTTAGTTTTCAGACTCTCCTGAAAAAGTGAACACATAGCTTTTCCTCAGCGTTTGCAGTTTAGATGTCATGGCTATTGATTCACTGTCTTATAGAATTACTGGGCTGAGCAAAAGCTGCAGTACTAACACATTTCTCTCTACATGTATGCTACCAAATTAGCAAGCTTTTGAAGAGTCATTGACTCCTTGGAGAATCTGTTAAAAGAAATGGATTTTCTTACCAGAAATTTGTGCAGTGGACCCTCTATATCCATAGTTCCATGTCATGGATTCTACTGTGGTTCAAAAAAACAAAAACAAGGCATTAGTGCTGAATATGTCCAGACTTGCTCTCTTGTCATTATGCCCTAAATAATGGTATATAAGAGCAATTTAACATTAATATTGTAGATGTTATTAGTCATCTAGGGATGACTTAAAGTATACAGAAGGAGGTATATCAGCGTTTGTAAATTCACTGTTTTATATAAAGATACTTTCTGATTAGAGGAGCTCTGGAACCAGACCCCACAGATACTGAAGGATGACTAGACACTTACATAAAATATCAGAATACTTCGATGTAATTTAACAGGATAAACATTTAGTTCACAGATTTCTGTTTTTGTAGGATAGTATATATTTCAGGTTTGTTCACTTATATATTGTTTAAATTAACTTGTTCTTTGTCCTTTTCTCCCTTACTCTAAGGTGGATACATAGCAAATAGCCTAGCAATTATGACCGATGCCCTTCATATGTTGACCGATCTGAGTGCCATCATACTCACGCTGCTTGCTTTGTGGTTGTCCTCGAAGTCACCAACCAGAAGATTCACTTTTGGATTTCATCGCTTAGGTAGTTATTTGTTTTGATTTAAATTGTCTTATACTAAAACCACAATGAGCTATAATCTTGATTAGCTGCAGTCTTTACAGTTTTAACTTGTTTGAACAAAAACAGTACAATTACAGAGTTATTCCAGCCAGCGAGTTTTAGCTCATCAATGAGCACTAGCTTCTTCCTTTTTACCTCAACAATTCCAACCAAAGCTCCTGAAGTCTGGATTTTAAGTATCATGATAGGTATAATATGTACAAGATACAGGTGTGACTGACCTTTATTGCAGCTTTTGTATGAACATCTTCCTTTGGTACATTCACATTTTTATTAGCCTATTTTGAACAGAGTAATAATTAAGAAGGGTTAAATAGCCAGGCACCAGTGGCTCATGCCTGTAATCCTAACTACTTAGGAGGCTGAGCACTAGGATCAAGCTTCACAAGCTTCAAAGCCAGCCCAGACAGGAAAATCTCAAAATTCTGTTTTGTTTTGTTTTGTTTTTTGGTCCAAGCCCCAGGACTCAAGGCTCAAGGCCTGGGCACTTTTTTGTTTAAGGCTAGCACTCTACCACTTGAGCCACAGTCCATCTTCTGGCTATTTTTTTCTGGTGCTTTCTCAGAGATAAGAGTCTCATGAACTTTCCTGCCCAGGCTGGCAGTGATCTTTACTAACTTGGTATTATCCAACTTTAACGATTAAAATGTTCACTAGCTTAGTAGGCATAAAAAGAAAATCTTCTTACTGAATTTCTTTTGTTATGATTAATTTTTGAGAATTGGGCCATTACAGTAAATTACTATTTTTGTCCTTTGCCCATTTTTCTTGTAAGGTGTTTGCTTCCCTATTGATTTTTCTTTTTTTATTAGCATACATTACTTGTACAGAGGGGTTCTTTGTGATATTTTCACACATGTAAACAATGTATCAGGTCATTACTCCCTCCACTCATCTCTTCCATCTCACTCCCCCTCTTAAAACAGTTTCAACAGGTTTCACCATTCTGTTTTCATACATGCAGATAAATTACATGGACCATGTTCATCCTCATACTCTTTGTTAGCCCTTCTTGTTGATTCCCCTCCCCCATTCCTGTCTGCGATTCATTTATTTTTAAGTATATTTTTTTGAAATTAGCACTGTAAAAAAATTGGGCTGGGAAGGTGGTTTAGTAGGAGAGTCCTTGCCTAGCATGCATGAAGCTCTGGGTTCGAGTCCTCGGTACCACATACACAGAAAAGGTGAGAAGTGGCACTGTGGCTCAAGTGGTAGAGTGCTAGCCATGAGCAAAAGAAGCTCAGTACCCAGCCCTGAATTCCAGCCCCAGGACTGGCAAAAAAAAAAAAAGTCTACTTTGTATCTTTTAGCCAGGTGCCAGTGGCATAATCCTAGCTACTCAGGAGGCTGAGATCTGAGGATCAGCGTTTGAAGGCAGCCCAGGAAGGAAAGTCCATGAGACTCTTATCTCCATTAAACTACTTAGAAAAAGCTGGAAGTGATTCTGTAGGTTTAAGTGATAGAGTGCTTATCCTTGAACACAGAGAGGTTCAGGGACAGAGCCCAGGCCCTGAGTTCAAGCCCCAGGACCTGCAAAAAGAAAAAGAAAAGAAAAGAAATTAGTCTGTACTTATATATGTTACAAGTATTTCTCTCCGTTTGTCATTGCTTACCTATAGGGGTCTGCAAATGTACATAATTAAAGTATGAGTGGAGAGAGGGGGATGGGATAAATGAGTGCAGAACCCAGATCATTCAAGCAGCTGGATGTTTTCTTAAATGAGAAAAAAGAAACATATTAAAAATGGTATATTGCTTTTACCTACTTAGAAAAAATGAAAATAAAAAACTATAGTAGTTGGTATGAAGTTTAAAAGCTGTGTTGAAAATGTATGTTTTATGTTTCCTTCCAGAGGTTTTGTCGGCCATGATTAGTGTGCTGTTGGTCTATGTTCTTATGGGATTCCTTTTATACGAAGCTGTGCAAAGAACTATCCATATGAACTATGAAATAAACGGAGATATCATGCTTATCACTGCAGCTGTTGGAGTCGCAGTTAATATAATGTAAGCTTGGGTTTTTTCACATAATATTTTCAGGTATTATAAACTTTGAGACTGTTATACATACATTCATTCAAACTGTGAAATATTGTCATGGTTTAATTTTTTTTTTTTTTGGTTGTTCATGGGGCTTGATCTCTAGGCCTGGGCGCTGTCCCTGAGCTCTTCAGCTCAAGGAAAGCACTCTACCACTTGGGCCACAGCTCCACTTCCAGTTTTCTGGTGGTTAATTGGAGATAAGAGTCTCACAAACTTTCCTGCCTGGACTGGCTTTGAACCATGATCCTCAAATCTCAGCCCCCTGAGTAGCTAGGATTACAGGAGTGAGCTACTGGTGCCCAGTCTTGGTTTAAAATTTATATATAGTCCATTAGTTGTTTTTTTTTTTTTTTTTGGTCTGGTCGTGGGGCCTGAGCTCGGGCCTGGGAGCTGTCCCTCAGCTCTTCAGTTCAAGGCTAGCGCTCTACCACGTGAGCCACAGTGCCACTTCCGGCTTTTTTCTTCTTGTTTATGTGGTGCTGAGGAATCGAACCCAGGGCCTCATGCATGCAAGGCAAGAGCGCTACCACTGAGCCACCTTCCCAGCCCCCATTAGTTGTTTTTATAAATGTTAGTTGTTCTTACAAATGTTAATAAAAATCAAGACATTATAATCCCTTCTTAGTTTGTTGAGTTATACTGGAGTTTGACCAACAATCAAAATTTAAGCAGAATAATGTCTTCTGTTATTTAACATTTTATTTATTTACTTATTTCATTTTGTATTAGCTAGACCTTTTAAACTTATTTTCCTGAAAGTACTCAATTTTTAGGTGATATGTTTAAATTGAGTCAGCAAACTTTTTTTTTTTAAGAAAGGAACTGTGGGTAGAGTTTGATGGGTAACATCTTGCCAGCATGCACAAAGTCTGGAGTCCAGTCTCTAGAACCAACAAAAAGAAAAAATACTACATAGTAAATATTGTAGTCTTTGATTTATAGTTTCTTTTGAAACTATTGATTCCCTGCTGTCACAAAACAAAAGCAGACATATTCACTGGGCAAACAAATGACCATGGTTGTATTCCAGTAAAACTTTATCTACAAAAACAATAAGCCAAATATGATTTCCTAGCCCTGGTTTAACCAGTCACTACCTAGTGGCTTCTATCAAGCTTCTAATTTAATCAAAAGCCCCTGCAACAGCCATTTGTTGTTGTTTTCGTGCCTGTACTGAGGCTTGAACTTACAACCTCATAACCTTGCTTAGCATTTTTGCTCAAGCCTGAGCTCTATTGCTTGAGGCATACCTCCACTTTTGGCTTTTTGCAGATTAACTGGAGGTAAGAATATCTCAGATTTGACTGACCCAGGCTGGCTTCAAACTAAGATCCTCAGATATCAGCCTCCCCAGTCATTCAGATTTTAGGTGTGAGCCACTGTCACCTGCACAGCAGCCTTTCCTAAGTAAAACCTGTGTGCCCTGCCCCCGCCTCCGCCATCTTAACCTCTAGTGCTTTTTGTTCACTTTATCCAGGCCACAGTGGCTGTTGTGGTTTTTATTTTTCCAAGTACATGGAGAAACTTTTTCATTTTTGGGCCTTTGTCTGCTCTCTGCCCTGAGCACTTTGGCACTATTTATTCCTGACTTTCTTCGGGTCTCTGTTCGGGATGGGGATATGTCTGTATTGACTCACTGCTTTGACCCCAGCACTTAGAACAGTACCTGATACATAATAATACTCAAAGATTTATTAAATGAATGAGGTCTGTGCTGCCTCATTCATTTCTGAATAGTGGCTAATATTTTAACCAACTATTTTAGGGAAAATAATAATGTTTTCTTTTATTTTTGACAGAATGGGGTTTCTGTTGAACCAATCTGGTCACCATCACTCCCATTCCCATTCCCTGCCTTCAAATTCTCCTACCACAGGTTCTGGTGGACACAGCCATGGGCAGGATAGCTTGGCGGTGAGAGCTGCGTTTGTCCATGCCCTGGGGGATTTGGTACAGAGTGTTGGTGTGCTAATAGCTGCCTACATCATACGATTCAAGGTAACATGATAGCTAATTTTCCTACTTCGAAGTCACTTAATTTTAGCATTAAAACTAAAGCTGCTTTTCTTTCATCAGTATGCTAGATATGAGTGCCAGTTCTGTTCATTGGTGTAAGCTTAATTAGCCCTGCCATGTATTGCACCAATGCCATTTAATGCATTGGTATAAACTTAATTGACCAAGAGTGCAGTTCTTTTCTTAGCAATAAATACAATGGTATCACCTCATCAGGTACCTTATCTACAGTTGGCTTTGATGGCATCTTCTCACTGTAAGCCTTGTCACTGAACTGCTTGGTGGTGAAACATGCTCTAGATTAGAATCTAGATCCAGTCTTAGCCTGCATGCCCCTCAAATTTGAGTTCCCTCTTCTTTACTCCTTATACCTTTGATATTTTATGATTCTGGGTAAAAGACTTAGAAAAGGTACAAAGGAGAATAACATAACAAGCAATTAAATTTCCAGAAATCGGTCCCCTGAAGAAAGTCATTTTAAACATTAAGAAAGAGTAGAGATGTTCCTTAATTGCAGTGTTAAGTTTTGAAGGTAATCTCTAATCTACTAAAGAGATCCAGAGGACAGGGGGTATATGCCTGGCTTTGCTTTAGAGCCTGCTTGTTGTTGACATGTAATTGTATACTCTCATCTGTTACTTTTTAGCCAGAATACAAGATTGCTGATCCCATCTGTACATACATATTTTCATTACTTGTGGCTTTTACAACATTTCGCATCATCTGGGACACAGTAGTTATAATATTGGAAGGTAAGCTCTCACTAATATCTCCTTTGTGTGTTCATTGGAGATTGAGAGTCAGAGGGACACTGGGTAGGAGCTCTCTTTTATATTTTGCTTGTATTTATTAGGCTGTGTAACACTACCTTATGTGTACTGAGCATTTGAGTATTCATGCATTCTCTCATACATTATCTCTTTGGCCCTTATTATAAGTAAAATAGGCAGAGAGTGGATAAATTATTCCTTTTTTTTCTTTTTTTTTTCTTTTTTTGCCAGTCCTGGGGCTTGAACTCAGGGTCTGGACTCTGTCCTGAGCCTCTCTGTGCTCAAAGCTAGTACTATGCCACTTGAGCCATGGCACCACCTCTGGCTTTTTCTGTTTATGTGGTACTGAGGACTCAAACCCAGGGCTTCTTGCATGTTACAAGGCAAGAACTCTACCACTAAACCACATTCCCAGCCCAGATTATTCCTATTTATAAACAAGATTAGCTGGGTGCCACTGGCTCATGCCCAGCTACTCAGAACAGTGAGATCTGAGGACTGATGTTCATAACCAACCCCGGGCTTTGAAACTCTTATCTCCAATAAACTACTCAGATAAAGTGGGAAATGGCACTGTGGTTCAAGTGGTAGAAAGCTAGCCTTGTGCACAGAGAGGCTCAGGACAGTGCCCAGGCTGAGTCCAGGCTCCAGAAAAGGCAAAAGAAACACCAAAAAAAAAAAACAAAATATAAACAAGATTATGCTTCAGAGGGATAACATAACTTAGTAAAGTCACACTGTTAATACACTGGAGCCAGAACAAGAATGCAATTTTTGATTCTTAATATGATTATGTCTTTTGGCTTATATAATTCCTTAATCCTACTTAATGTGTGACTTTGTTGTACTGATGACAGCTTTTCTTACTGATAGCATGTCTAAGCATGAAAATAAAAGTTAGACTGTAAACTTATCATTATTGGATTCTTTTTTCTCCTTAGTCTGTTCTAGCTTATCTGTTAAACTATTCTGATTTGATTGGCGTTCTCTTCTAGTGGGTATAGCATTTTTAAAGTATCTATTAACGCCATATATTTCCTGTATTTTTATAAACACATGCATATAGTTTGTTAAAAATCTAATATAGTTTAAAATACTGTTTAAACTGAATTTAGCAAAGCCATTTATTTTCTTTGAATATAATTTAAAACTTTTTCTTTACAAGGTAAGGAATTTACTTACAAATTGTAATATTCTGAACTAATAGGTGTACCAAGCCATTTGAATGTAGATTATATCAAAGAAGCCTTGATGAAAATAGAAGATGTATATTCTGTGGAAGATCTGAATATCTGGTCTCTCACTTCAGGAAAATCTACTGCCATAGTTCACATGCAGCTAAGTAAGTTGCTAAAAGCAAATGAGGGCCTGCCTGGGGTTTGTGGACTTCTATCTTTGGAATTAAGCATGTGAGCTTATAAGTAAGTAGGAAGACTTTCCTGCTGACAAGATGTAGGGAGAGGAAAAACTTCTCAAAAGGTAAGATGCAGGTCACTGTTACTAGCAAAGTAAAGTTGTTTTTATCTCTTTGGGAGTCAGATTGATACTTACCTTGAGATTAAAGACTTAAAGAATATTTACTGTGCTCTTCTATATAAGCAAAGCTAGGGCTCTTATGTTTATTTCTTTAAGTTGTTTCACAGAGTGATCCTTTTTATTTTTTTAAAATAATACAGATAAATGTTTTTTTTAATGTACGTAATAGCTTTTCATTGTTGCCACTATTCTTTCGCCAGGTGGACCGTAGAGCTTTTTAATAACGCACGCCCACTTCCCTAGCAGGCATATCAGAATAGATACAAGTAGACTATGACAGTGTGCTCAACAGTGTCAAAAGGTTGTTTCTTCCCTGGGTCTTACTCACCAGTGCATAACTGAACAATAAATAGTAATAACATTTTTTTTGACATTGCAGTTCCTGGAAGTTCATCTAAATGGGAAGAAGTACAGTCCAAAGCAAAGCATTTATTATTGAACACATTTGGCATGTATAAATGTACTATCCAGCTTCAGAGTTACAGGCAAGAAGTGAACAGAACTTGTGCAAATTGTCAGAATTTCAGTCCCTGATTTGTACGTGTTTTGGGGCCTACTGCCTTATTTATCCACAGTCATTGACTTGAGAGCAATAAAAGCAAACCCAAGTGAGAAAATGGAATCACTGACAGCTGTGTCCATAGCGAGCACCAGTCTCAAAACAGTCACTCCAGCCTGCCTATGTGAGACTCTGTTCAATGTAAAATGAGCCGTTACCATGATTGTTGGATGAAGAAGTTTTCAAAATACTGTTTACAGAATGAGATGTTACTCTACAGATACCTCATGGAAGACAATCCAGTCCCGTACTTCATCAATCTGACAGAATATGTGTCTTCAGGAAGCATCAGAATTCAGTATTTGCATTTAAACACACTTTTTAAAGGCCATTTTATACCAAGCCAGTGCTAGCAAACTCAGTTGTATTTTTTAAATTATGTAATCTTGACATTCAGCTTCTAGAATTGCTGCCTCTTTTTACCAAAATTATTTCTCAACAGATTTCAGAAAGTACTGGTAATTATTCAGAGAAGGGAATAAGCGTGTATTCCTAGGTGTCTCAGAACTGTTCATTTCACAAATAAGTTTTAATGTTATAGTTATACTTAACATTTTTTCCAGATATTGCTGAGTCTTGAATCTCAAAGTTAATGTTTTTATTATTTGTAATCTTGTCACAACAAAATCTTCACAAATTATGGTCATTGTCATTAAGTTATTTAGAAAATATTTTAATATAATTCTGAATGACAGAAATTAGGCTTAACCTCAAATTACCATATGATTATTTAAAACAATAAAGAAGAGAAGATGGGATTGGAGTCTCAAATTTATATCTTCCTAAAATCACTTTTATTGTGAACTTTTCTTAAAATCAGTAAGAGACTGCAAAATGTAAGTTATTATCATCTATCCCTTTAAGAACTGCCAACATTTTGTATAGTTTGCTTGGTACTATATGAGCCTATATGAAAGTAACTTTAGAGGGCTACATTTGAGTTTGTAATGCTGCATGCAGATTGACCACTTCAGAGAGAATGTCTGGTTTATGATAGAGGATAGAAACCTCAAGATACAAATTTGAAGTTTTTCTCAGAGGGGTTGGAGGAGATATTAGTTTGAGAAAACAAATGGAAACGGTTTTTGAGTGAGTGAGTGAGTGAGTGTGTGTGTGTGGAGAGAGGGTGGGGGAGAGGCAGAAAGGGCACGAGAGCACACTGGGATGGGGATTGATGTCAAATCTGTGTTGTAGAGACAGCATATTTCCAGACTGAAGACAACCTGATTGGAAACTGTTTGGGTTAAGAGGTAGCGGTGAATATTCATGTTTCATTTAGCAACCATTGTTTTTGAGTTAACTTTGTGCACACTAGAACTCCCTCTTCAATATGCACTCTTCATATGATTCTTGGCTCCTCAAAGCATCAGTGTAGAGTAACAATGTACCAGACAAGTTGTGAATTAAACTTCTAGGTAGGCCTGCCAGATAACTTACAAATGAGGAATGGGAAACAGAATCCATCTTCTTAGCACATACTTTATAAGTAACCCAAAATAAGGTAACCTGAATTTGCCTAAAAGGTTGCTGGGAAAAGATGGTATCAGTAGCAGAGTTGATGGTATCTAGGAAACTCAGTACAAGATTCAAGAACTGATAGATTCTTTGGCCTCTTGTACTTCTCCCACAGAGAAGGATATTAACCTAGCATCTACAGCCAAGGACTGCATAGCTTCTGACAGCTTTGCTCTGTCCTTCCTGTGATGAGCTGCAAGCACATGGTGGTTACACCGCTCAGCTGAGCCCTGGAAGCTTGTCTCTTACCCTGTGAACACGGGCTGAGTTGGACAAACACAGCATTACTAATTTTGCACTTGGAAAAACACATCACAGCATTTCTTCAATACAGTGTTTTCTAAGTAATATTTGTATCCATTAATCTGAGTTATTTCATACTTTAATGTTTCACAGCACTGCCTGGTTACAGATACTTTTTGTTGATCTTGCTTCCTTTACAAATGTAATGGGAATGCGGTTCAATAGGATAAATTTCTGAGAGATTGATGTGCAGTACTGGAAGCTATTGTAATACCTACATTTCCTTTAGCTATGCTTCATGTACTGTGAGACTGTACTTTTACAACTATAGTCTCCATCAGT